AGACAGACAATTTAACACGGACAAAACTAATCTTAAATTGTATTTAAATTAAAACCATAAGCTTTTAAGGAAAGGAAAAACAATCTTCTAAATGACAATGTCCGAGACTTTATGTATTCATTGTATCTACTTCTAATGAATCTAATCAAAGATTGCATTAAGAAACAGTCATTAATCACTTGAGTTTTAATAACTAACTGAATTTCAACTTGTATGATCGACTACATGCAAGAAGTAACAATTTTGTACATTTTAAAGGAATATGTAAATATTATAAATACCCTAGTATCTACCTATACCTCTCGTGTTACATGCGAAAAAAATGTGTACTCCCAATGTTGACAGACTTTACCACTAACGAAACTATTCTGCAGGATTTGACTTCAACTTCGACCCTTAAATACTTTCGAAATTCAAAAGAACAAGAAGTTTGTGAAACAGTAGTAAATAGTAATCTATTCTGTGTTTGTTATTTTTCTGTTATGCCTTGTTCGCACTATGCTAGTACATATTTTAGTCAAGCAGCAAATGTTTAGTATATCCCTCTCGTTTCTGTCCCAAAATCGAAGCGAAAGAGAGTTACTAAGTACTCGCTACTTAACTAAAATACTAGCATAGTGCGAATAAGGCATTAGATAATAGTTTTCGTAATATAGAAAAGTGGTCAGGCCACACATGTTGATTAGGTTGTAGAGTACTTAAACTCTCCGTGAGACACTCGCTAGTTGAGTCGACGGTTTACAAGCCTACGAGATAAATAGCGGGAAAGGCTGCTACACGCTACGAGCTACGGGTTACGAACTATGCGCTACGACTTTAGTATTAGGTCTTATAGATTTAGGGTTGGTTGGTTATTAGATGTAAGGTTAGAAATTTAACTTTATGTGAGATCTTTGCTTACTTTTTGACAGCTATACGGTTACATGAAAATGTTTTTTACTGTAGTATTTTATTTACCCCGACTACGAGTCTGCGACATAAGCAAGATAAATAGAATAATAAAAATGTTCGCTTCATAAACCAGTAAAATAAGCAACAAGTTATAAACTACTACCAACTCTACTAATAAAAAAGGCACCATACCTATGACCATACATAATTAATATTTTTGCTACGGAAGAATGTGGTTCCCGCACTCTCGTACCCACATGAGAGACGGCTGATGGCACATCTCATTGGTTTAGACTGTAAGAATTTGGCACTCACTTTCATCTTTCCCAGGTGAGGCGTGGGGCAGGAGGAAATATATTTAGTTTTATCTGATTCCCGATTAAAGTAGTTAATTTGCAGTGTGTGGTATGCAGTATCCCTTCCGTCCACAAATAACGCACACGCACACGTTTCGCTCATCCACACATAAACAGGTGTTGACTCGTCGTGAATATGCATCGTGAAGAACCGAAAGTGCATGTGTGTGATTCAGGTGGTTTGTTTGGGTGTGAGTTCCGCAAAGTAAGGCCAGATTCTATTCCTTCCCTGAGGACACGGTGGAACACACATGCCCGGCGTGGGCTGAGCATCGCCGTGCCCTCAGGTATGTGATCGGCGACGGTGACCTCTCGCCTCATGATGCGGAGGGGGACTGGGATGCCGTCTCCGCTTTTTGCGAAGCAGTCATGCTACCTAAAGAGGAGGCGGGGCGCATGAGGCATCGAAGCGCTACCACCTCACAATCCAGCTGTCGCGAAGTACACTCCAGGCGTCGGGGTTCGCGGAACGATCTCCGGCCACCGTAAGCACGGGCCTGCGGATGGCGAGCATGGTTAGCTCTCCGCCCGACCAGAACCAGACTGCCGGGTCTGGTTCTGATCGGGTGCGGCGCGTCGCGTTCCGCGCGCGCCTCAAAGAACCATCAGATCACCACAGATGGGGCCCAATAGGGCTGATGCCGATACGGAGCCGGGTGGGCATGGGTCCCGGGCTCCGGCTCGAAGTGCAGTTGTAGTAACGGGGTGGTTTTTAGTCAGTAAGAGTCAGACACTCCCTCCCGCCACCCACCCGGTTCTCACCCAGGCGGTAGAAGCCATTCGATGATTTCCCCCCCTGAAAAAAAAGAAAAAGATTCTATTCTTTAACTCGTCGAGTACCGGTTTTGCAGACACAATTATAGAACAATAGGTTGCGGTCACCGGTGACCGCTTGGTATTTGACAGTTTAAACTAACGTGTAGAGTTAAATATGTTATCTGATTACAGTGTGAGTCACTGAAGATGGTTCATCATTCAAATTACCAACGCTTTTACAACAGCATGTCAAGGCGTTTAAGTAATTAACATAGTGCATTTTGTGTTAATCTTAATGTTTGGGAACATCAGAGCCTGATAAGCAGTACAGGTACGATAGAACTTTCATTCCGGTCCACCCACAATGCGGTACCAAACCAAAAGCATGACGCAGGATGACGTAATATCCTGCCTGCCTATGTGTGAGTAGGTATCTGTTGACCTCAGAGAAGTGTTTGCTTAAATTGTGATAGTGTGAAGACAGACAGACATTAAGTCAATAAATCTACGTCCTAATTAGACGTAAGAGATTAATTTTCAGCGTCAAAATTACGTATAAAAATTTCGTGAGTCCGATCCGGTCTGCTGAAGTCAGGCTCAGATATTGGGTATTAAAATAATGATTTGTATTTGTGTATTGCACACATAGACACGTAGTATTGTACATTTTTTGTTGCCGAACAAAAATCAGCTAGCTACCTACAAGCTGGCTGTGAGTGTGAATGTACCAAATGATGGCCATTCATTCCGTAGGTAGTTGGTTAGTATATTCGTATATAGCGAGCGTTTCAAAGCGTTGGTTGATGCGAAGCGTTGGTTGGTTAATCCAGTGGTCTCTGTCTGATCCGCGTCACACCACTGTGACATGAGTGCGCGCGGTTCTTTTTTCGCAAACTACATCTAAGTGGACGTACAATTTATGTCTGAGTTGATACAAAGTACACAAAAAGTTGGGACGGAATGCCGTGGCGTGAAACTGAAGAAACATTTTACGATGCATTATCATACAAAGTGAAACATTCGAAACGAGTTTTCTTCTTAGTGTAAGTTAAAATTTAAAAGGAGCGTAAATAACTTTTAAGCAATTAAAAAAATGATTACTTAAGTTCCTCGTGGTAAAACCTGAATACTTTTTAATAAACGACCACATAAACCATTACAAATCCCATGTGTGAATAAAAAGTGTAATTTATTTGATGTAGATAATTAGAAAATATATTTTTTATATTCTTAGAAGGATGACGTAATAAACCACAACAAAATTGTTATTTTTATAGCCATCTAAAATTTTATTAGTATTGTTTACATAAATAGTTCAAATAAGCATCTATAAATGAATGATCTCGGTAAGTTTTCAAGATATAAATAGAAACAAGATGTTGTCCGTCTCTCGTCAACGGGTGATAAAGCGATTAATATGTCAAGCATAATAATTTGGACATAAACAATCACAGAGTTGAGTATTTGTATCACAGTACCGGGCGTGTGTAGTTAGGATCGCGTGTTGCACGACTAACACAAACACGACCAGAGTATCTTCGTTGTCAAGGTTAAAACTTAACACCGACGCGATTATTAAACCTATACAACTGGAACTTATTGTTGTAAAGACTTGGCGATAAATTAAACCATTGTCTTGTAAGTGGCTAATCTGTACCGCAGAGCTTGTCTTGTTGCAGAAATCTGCCTGTGTTCTATTGTACTCTCAAAGAATGAGCGTGTTAAAATGATCTAGGTCCTACTTTCTTTTGCATAGACTTTTTTATTCATAAACATAATATTTTGCATTTAACTTTGGTGAGATATGTTATTATTAAATGTTTAATAATTGCTTACCATTTAACGCGGCAATTTGTCTATAATTTCAAACTACTATTGGGGGCAATATGAGTGTGGCTCGAAATTGGTTGAGTTACTCGTCAATATTGATTGCATGAGTAAGCCGTTAAAGATAGTTATTATAATTAACAATTAATGGTTTTATTTGTTTACATAATGTGTGAGATATTAATAATGGGTGATAATAGATTCTATTTGAATTAGAATACCTCACAGAAAACCGACGTGGAGCAACGCTTGCGTTGTGTTTCGTCGGGTGATTGAGGTTACCGAAGGCCCAATTACCCTCCCCTTCCCCAATCTCCCCAATCCCTGAATTCCCAACGATCCTCAAACTCCTAATCCCCAAAAGGCCGGTAACGCACTTGTAACGCCTCTGGTGTTCCAGGTGTCCATGGGCGACGCCGATTGCTTACCATCAGGTGATCCGTCTGCTCGTTTATCGGCTTATGGCATAAAAAAAAGAATACAAATTCGAATAGCTGTTTTTCTAGCTGCTTTCAGTTTGCATTAATGCTTATAGAATATGTTAACTGTTAACACAACTTGTTACATCACAAATATCACCATATACAAATTCAAGGATGTGTTACAAACCAAACATTTCCATTCCGGGTGGCATAAAATACGTAATCAATTCAGGATTCGCCAAAATATTTGCATTTAATATCAAAGATTGGTACGAATATGGTGATAATCCTTATGTTTAAACCATTTCTCTATTTTATTGCTTAAATCCCCCAATCAGAATCTCAATGAAAATGACGTCATCCACGCTCAAATGTGAGGCTATAAAAGATCTATACCTACGCATACTAATAAATGAACGAATGTAATAAAATCAGCATGCGTGAAGTGAAGTAGCTTTAGTCACAATAGTTTCGTATTCTTGATAAGTACATTGACTTGATTATTATCTATTGCTTCTATACATTATAATATACCTATGCAGTTTTTGTTTGGACGTAACTAAATCCGGTAGCAGTATTTTTTATCTTTGCATGATTATTGTGTCTCCATGTTGTTTTTTTGATGTCGTATCGAAATGTAGATTAACTATATAGTTACATGTCTGCGTTTCAAAATAGATTACCTTCTGGGAAATTGATTAAACTTGAGGTTATGTAAGCGCAAACTGAAACGATCTTGTTTTTTCAGATGGCGTGGAAGTATATACAAATTAGTATGGCTAGACCTTCTAGTGTTCCTGCTTTTATACTATGTACTCAATTTGACTTATCGGCTGTTACTGGATGAAAATGCTAAAAGGTAAGAAATATATATATATATATATATATTTTTATTCTTCAAAATTAATGAACTTATATAAAAAGAAAAGAAACTTAATAAATATGAAACAGAAGTGGTTCTGTTGTCACATGATAATTCATTGCAATCGTAGATACACTTGGTGCATGCATATCATCAATATTTTTATGTAGATTGCGGGAGTATTTCTAGTACTCAAGCTTGATAACTGCAAGCTACATGAATAGTTAATACTTTCTGCACTAAGAACTCTTCATTAACATTGTTCCAGAATAGAAATTAAACAGATATAAAGCTGAACTGTAAAATTTATCAGTTAATGCATTTGAATTAAATTAATAGATTTTTTATGCATTTATCCATAACCATAACTGAGGCCTTAGTACGAGTTTGATTTACGTTTAAAGTATTCGAAACGAGTACGCGTTTGGCAATCTGATTGGCCGGCGCCAATAAACCAACCAATCAGAGCACCGAACCCATATTCGTTACGATTACTTTAAGCGTAAAACAAACTCGTACTAAGGCCTCAGTACTTACTCGTAGCAGATTGCTACGAGAGCAAAATACTTGACGTAGCAGCAATCTAACTTTAAATGACAAATCAAATGGAAACTATGCAAGTGCAATTATAATTAGAATGAAGTCGGTTAAAAATGTCATCTAACACGTAATACACCCATTTAATCTAATTTAAAAAAAATAATAATTATTATGATAATTATAATACAAGACAAAAGAATATATCTAGGTCTTGACGTAGCAATTACTGACACCAAAATTAATTGCATTTCACGCTTTCTTTCGTGATAGGAAACGATACACGTTATAACGATTTCCTAAAACGTACTGTCACTTTCTATTTTTATCGAAATTGGAAGGAAAGCATTAAATTCCCAATATTTTTTTATTGAAGAGAGTTACCGTGATTTTGTGCCCAACCTAGGTGATAAAACACAACCTATTTTGGAGTTGTGTAGCGTGCCTGCGACATATAACCCAAAATTCTATATTTATTCTCTATCATAATATATTATTTTATACAAGCCCATCCCTTTCATATACATATTAACATAATTTAGTATAATAAAAATAATAAACTTAAA